GCATTAAACCAAGGAGCAAGCTTTCTAATTTTTTATTTGTATGACCGCCATTGCGGAAAACGACTCGTGAAGTTGGACCAGCTAAAAGAGTGAGGTGCGTGTGGACACTGGGACCCTTGTTTCACCTAGATCCCCTTTCTTTTTCACCCTCATGTCCCTCCGTTGTTGCACAAACTTGCCCCCACTTCCTCACCGCCTCAGCCGTATCTAGACCCACACCTGATTGTCCCTCTTGCATTGTGGCGTGGAATAATATAGCACAGACCACGCTTCAATATTGAGCATAAATCAAAAATATCTGCGACAAGCTTTAGTTTACATCGCTAATGCAGACTAATATAAACTCTTGCTTTTCTTATGGTATTATAGGCTGTTATTAGCTGGTCAATCAGTATGTATACTTCCTGAGGTAGCAAGCATGCAGCCAACATAGATGACATTTTATGCTTGCTGGTGAGCATTTGGTTTGTGCTTTTTGTGCTGCAGATTTGACTTGGAGTCTTTCCAGACTGACGAGCTGTGTATTGAACACACATGGTGGACGTCAGTCAAGATGTTTTTTGGTTGTATTATTTAGTTGCTGCGTCGTTGCTTCTAAGCAATAAATCACATGAGCTTAAAAATTTGGTTGGTTTTTTTCACCCTTTAATTGGTGCAACATTTGGAAGAAAAAATATTGGGGCTGAGCAGCAGAGTTGCACCCATTTAAAAAAAAAACCAAACACTTTCACCCCTTTTTGCAGGTTGTTAGCTTTGTTTATTGAATCAGATGACTCAATTTTCTACTGTTTCTTTTTCCTAACAGCAGATAATAAACCAGTAATGCATGGATCGTCCACAACCACATCTTGCACGTCAATATTGGAAGGCCTCTCAGTTGGAGTTTGTGTTTGATTAGGTAATACGGTTGTGTGGGTTACTTTGCTGCAAACTGCATGCTAAAGCTAACCCCTAACCCCCCTGGCATTCAGTAGGGTTGGGGACAGGGCTGCATGCAAGTTAACCCCAGGCTGTGGGGCATGCATTGACATCTTAGGAGACAGAGGTAGGAGATATTGGATTGCCACTGGTTGCAGACTCCTATTTCAATATCTCTCAGCATTTAGATGACCTCCCAAGCCTTTGTGAGGGACATGCAGCTCCTTCAATTCACACTCTGACCCTTCCCCCACATGAGGGGGAATCCTGCTTTGTCCTTCCGGTCAGCTGGCTGAAAGGAAGCTAAAACACTTATGACCTTATGCAAATTAGAAGTATTTCCAGAACATGTTTCTTCATCAGAGGCTTTAGTAAATTCTGTTTATTTTCATGTTCCCAGTTAAAAAAGCATCATCTAAAGGATTTTCAGGTAGTTCTGTCAGTTTCTGTGAAGTAAAACCCGATGATTACATTGAGTCATTGACTCCTCCTTAATGAGCTTGCTACAATTTTTGCTTGTTTTTTGTTGTTGAATCTTAAGCTGTCCCTCACTCTGAGCATGCATGCTGCAACAGTGGAGAGGAAAAAACTCCCTTTTAACAGGAAGATACCCCCAGCAGAACCAGGCTCAGTGTGAGTGGCCTTCCGCCAAGGCCGACTGGGGTTCAAGGAGAGAGAAGCAGAAATACAACAATAAGCAGATATACATTAGGTAACTGTTAATGAGCTCCACAGGTGGCCTAGTCCAGGAAAGACAAAGCCAGGGAGACGAGCTCTGAGCCAGAAGAGATGAGAACATGCAGTTAGTCATAGTAAAAGAAATAGGACTACACTGAAAGA